GGTTGTTAGGAATGCAATTAAACATCATACTCAACAAACTTCATAGAACTGATGCCTTTCAGCTTCATTCATCCCTCTGGTGGATGATGCTCCTACAGTAGCTTAGTGACCAAGATAGAAGGGACCACAGAAGTCTTAGCCTCTGACCTTGTTAAAAGATAGCAGTGGGTAGGTGTTTTCTGCTGGATAATGGATACATGAGTCATGGTAATGCAGTGAATATTTGGTGCTCTGCTTAAATCTGCTGCTTTACTCTGAAGATTTTCCTTTTAGTGAAATCACAGCATCTGCCATACATGTTGGCTGGCTTGAACATCTGCCCCCCTGCCCTTTAATTTCTTGTAAAAAAGACTATACACAGAAGATGGGAATGAGACTTTCCAGCACTGTGATGCTATTTGCTACTCACTATGCATTGTTCCTCTAATCGTGGTTTATTAACCATGGCATTGACTTTGGCAGGTGAATGGATTAAAGAACTGTAAAAATCCCTGCCATTACTTGCTGTGTGGTCTATCTTGGTGCACCACCATCTAACTACCAGAGCATACAGGATCAACYTGAACGTAGTTTAAGCATCTTCTTGTCTTTGTAAAACTTACCTTTCTGTTCACTGTTCACAAAATAAGTAAAATCAGATACCAAGTGCTGCCCAAATACATTGTCAGGACTTGAGATAATTACTTTCATTCTTTAGTTAATGCTTTTTCATATGTAATTTTCCATTAAAGCACTACTTCTTTCTTTCAGATTCRTAGGTGTGTGTATATATAGATTATTATAGTTGTCACTGAAACAGAATGGATGCTGGTATTTTTTGAGTTTTTTTAAAATCCTGAATGTAAGGCTTTTCTTCCAAATTAATCTTTTTGTATTGAAAGGAAACTATTGAATTGACAATCACAAAGAAAATGTTTCAAATCTTGGGTGTGTACTGTTAGTCACTTTAATTCAGAGGTTCAATGATAAGAGTTCTTMAAGAATTTTTGATCTATCAGTTTCATTATCTTTGTTCATTGTAGTTATTTCAAAAATTTTCAAATATGATTTTTAATGGCTAATTTAAGTCTTTGGCCCATTTCTGTGAAATATCATGTCTAAGAATAACGTTTTTAATTATTAAACATTTCTTTGCATAACCTGTCATCCTTTGAGAAGCCCAAAGGATGGTTAGCTGATAATGAAAGGTAAACTAACTCAAGTTCTCTTGCTGTTATTGAGAACTTGAATTTCCATCACAAACATTGCAGAGGAGTATTTAAGCTGAAGTATTCTTTTGTTCACAGCAATAAAACTGTACTATTTCATATGTCTGTTTTATCATATGTTTTACAGAATCCTAYTTTTTTCTTTAGAGTAGGACTTGAAATTAGGAACTGAAGTCACTTATAAGAAGACTTGGAGCAATCGTTCTGACTTCTTGAAGGCTGCTCAGAAGTTCATCAAAGTTCAAAACATACTGAAATGTCAGTGTGSTTTCATTGCAGAATAGGAGCAAAGAGAGGGAATGGAAATTGCACTTGTTTTACTTGTTGCAGGATCTAATTGTCCATATAACTTAATATTTATTTTCCTAGTATTTTCCTTCAAGCTGGTGTTTCGCAGTCCTGTTGTCAGTGTAGCTCCAAGGGACATTGCTGAAGGGTTTTTTAATTACTCCTGGAGCTAGCTTTTCCTTTGTGTTTCCAGGATGACGTTGACAGCTTGAGGAGCTCATAAACTAAGGGATACTTTACAGCAAGCAATTTACCAGAGGTTTGGGTTGGGAACACCAGTACTGAAAGTGCAGGAGTAAGCAGCCAGTTAGATTAGTGACCCATCAAAACTTCTTAGTAAGGTGCCTCCAGGTATTGTCCAGGCCTCTGYACCATTGTCTTTGTAACAACCATTTTTTCATGTGTGTCTGCATGCAGATTAATTTTTGGAAAGGGAGAAAGAAAAAGTGGTTATGGCATATTTGGAGATCAAAATAGTATCATCTCTTGAAACGTGATGCCTGTAAGTGGAGTCTCTGGAGCATKTGGTGGTGGTTTGCAGGGAGTTCTTGCTTCAGAGGTGAAAGGCGTGGAAGTGTGTTAGCATTTGGTGAAAAAGCTTTCCTGATTCTTAGCCCACTTCCATTTAGGGACTTGGTGTGTTTAGAAATGTTGGCTATTTTCTCAGTGCTACCTTTTACTGAGGTARATACAGGTAATTCTAGCAGCAACCACTTCTTTGTTTTGTGACTGTAGGATCTGGAGTGAAAACAGGATGGAAACAATCAGTTTGTCATCCCATTGCCAAGTTTCTGAGTCCAGTGTTGCATAAACATTTTTTTTTTTGTATTTTGGGATTGACTGCTTTCAAAGATGATATTATTTAATCACTGAATTGTATTCCACATTGAGAAAGATGTGTGTAGTATTTCTTCAGCCATTTAGCAGTAACTTCATARCAGCAGTGTTTATTTGTTGGATACTGGTCTTTACAAAGTCATGTCAAGCATCCTCTTTTATCTGTAGYAGCACTGTGGACTTGTTATTGTGCCTGGGTATCATGGAGATTATCACAAAAAGCATTAAAAATGCATTGCCTGAGATTTCTGCAATAACATTGATTCTTGTRTTTTCAGTCTGCTAGGGAGAGTGGMAGAGCAGTGTGAAAGATCGGAATTAGACATAGATTATCTGCCTAATATGGTTCTTGTTAGTACAAATAATATGAATACCATTTGAAGAACAAACGGATTATAGAAAAAGAAATGAAAACATCCAGATCCTGAGCATTTGGAAAGCATGGCACTGATRTATTTGTGTAACCTTTTCATGAAGAGCGATGCTGAAGTCAAAGAGGGGATTTTGATTTCCTTCATTAAAAGCTTATTAAATGAAGAAATAGGACAGTCGTTGTCTTGCTTCAATAGTTGGGGGTCACAGAGGCGGGCCTGGTCTCCTCAGGATATTAATGCCTGCTTTCAGCTGGGGGAAATGAGCCGTCGCCTGAGTTAGCTGCAGCTTTATGTGCTCGTCACTAGGGATCCCCATATGTCCTGGGATCTGCGGCAGTCGCAAATGGCAGAGCTCGGCAGCGGGGAGCAGAGGGCTCTCATTGCTATTCAGAACAGGTAGCTCGGCTCAATCTGCCCAGAGCAAGTCTGTTTAATGTTGATCAGCTGTCCATCTGATAAACCGAATTGATATGGACATTTCCTCCAAGGGCTGCCCTGACAATGACAGCAGGAGCATCGGGATGTCTTGTTAGTCTTTTTCGCCGAGCTTGAAAATTTATTAACCCTTTGTTAGAGCCGAGCCAAGCATGATTACAATACTGCAACTGGGCTATGTGAGTTTCTCCCTCAGTTCTTTGAAAAGCAGCCTCAACCTTCAGATTTATTGTCTTCATGGAGAATGACTAGCAGTTTGGTTTTTGAATTGTTTTTCTCTGCATGGCGCCAACAATGTGTGAATTATAAAGGCAGCTTTTAAAGCAGCTTAGTTTTTTTTTTTGTGCATGGCAAAATACTTCGGGAACCTCTATTTATTCGCTCCCTCTGGCTCATCTGCCTTTTGTGTGCCTGCCCAGGCCGTGTGACTCTCCCAGCTCTTCTCTCTTGCTAATTGGCACTGACCACTGCCCTGAAACAGTTGCTGCTGGAGCTCTTTGCAGGTCACTTGTGTTTGAGGCAGAAGGTTACTTTCAATTAATGTGGTTTGGGGCAGTTGGAGCCCATCTGTGCTGAGCAGAGGAAAGAATTAATTTGCTCAGCACTCTGTTAGGCAGAATCTAACTCGAGTATGTACCAGCAGGTATATTTGTGTGTGAAGGTATGGAGCAGTTTGGTTACTCAGTGAATCAGTGCTTGGCCACTTCTGAATAAACACAACSTAACACGCCTTTGTACTGGGTTGTAATTAATTGGAACTGTAAGGCCTTTAGTCATCTGTGTAGTTGAGGGCATGGATTGTGGTTTTGCTCATATGTGAAGTGTCCATGGCATAAAGGAACTGCTTGAGTCAGAGAGGATGTGAATGTGCTGATGATTTCATTAAAAGGAGCCCTGTGTGTATCTAGCATCAAAAGGATGCTCCAGTGCATTGCTCTGTTTCCCCTTGTCCCTGCTCAGTTATTATGTCTGTTCAAYGCCCTGTTGTTGTTCTGAGCTAAGGTGACATTTCTGGGCTCCTTGGGGTGACAGTCACTGTCAAGGGATACTGGGTTGAATTGGGGGAGGAGGGGAGGAGAGGCATGTGCTGATGACTCTTTTCATGCTTTTTCCAAAAAATGAAAATAGAGGGCAAGTCTCTATGGAACAGCGTCTGTGAGAAGCCTGTCTTAGGGATTTGTAACCCCTATACCCAGAATGTAGCACACTGTTGGAATAAGAAGTGATTTGTAAACCTATCCAGTAAAATTGGCCCCTTTGCTAGACAGTCACCTTTGCTGCTTCTGACTAAAACAAGCATTGAAATACCATTTGTACRCAGTTCTAAAATGTTCAACTGTTTTTCCTCTCCTGCCTGAACCCTTCCCCTTTGGTAGTATTGAACTGCAAGGTATCCTGTTATTAATTTAACTCTAATTTGGGCAGTCATTGACTGCAGCATTCTTACAGTGTTTGGATTGGCTTGCTCAGGACACCCGTACTGACATGTCCTTTGTTTCTTTCCATCAGTACTTTCTGCTTGGCATTTTCTTCATGTCAGTGTCCCTCAAGCTTCTGGTAGACAAAACAAAAAAAGAAAACACCATGAGGACTGTATTGATTAATTGGCTTTATTTTATGAAAGAATTTAAACCATGGGCAACATTCCTCCAAGTACAGTACCTATGGTAACTCTAGTTGCCTGGAAATACTTAAGTTGTCTGTATTTAACACCTCCTGGTTGTGGCTTCTGGAAGTATACAGAAGAGCTAATAGATAATTAATAGAATACCTGTTTAGCACATGTGGTTGTTTCTTTTCACTAAGAGTCTGTTCTATTCATAGCATCAAGCATAACTGTACTTTTTCTGTCTTTCAGTCAAAGAAGTCTGGCTGAGATTACAGARCTGATCCATACTGCCTTCCTGGTGCATCGTGGCATAGTGAACATYGGTGAGCTCAAGTCCTGCGATGGCCCACTGAAGGATATGCAGTTTGGGAATAAAATGGCTGTTTTGAGTGGAGATTTTCTTCTAGCAAATGCTTGCACAAGCCTTGCGCAGTTGCAGAATACCAAGGTAAAAAAGAAAAAAATTCTTCTGCTGCCAAAGCAAGTAATTATAAGCGAGTCTTTTGAAAGAGAAGCCCTCGTAAAAGTCAGCAGTTACATATATATATATATGTAACATCATTTAAAAATCAGTGTACTTATGTTATCGGTGTAAATTTGACAGGCTGCTGCTGCTGTGAACATATTCACCACTCTCCTATAGAATCACTGTGCTGAGGYCTTCAGTAAACATTCTGAAGCACTGTAGGAATGGATGGGTGTTAATTTGGTAAATTTAAGGTATATGCGGTGGCATTTTCGTGACACATTAGGCTACACCAGCTCTGGCAAACTACCAGATAAAGACATGTTTGGTCTGTCATTTTCTTTTATTTTGTGTTTTGTCAAAGGTTTGCTGTCTTAGATAATTTTGGGGGGAAAAGGCTTTAGTGCTTTGTCTCGGGTGACTTTTGTGCTTAATGAAGTTACTTTGTTAGGGATTTGGATGCCCCTGAATGTTGGGTTGCCCTATTAACGTGGATGTACCGGCTTCTAAAGGACAGCTGCAACCCAATTGCTCGACCAAACTGTATGAAACTTTGCAGGGAGATATCTTCAATGAGAAATAATGTGTGTATGTGTATTATCTGAGAAAATGAGACTGATGGAGACATTGAGATCATCTCTCTAGTTGGTTCTTCTTTTCCCCAGATAGGATCAGTTACACAAAATCATTCTTGACCTGCATTTCAAATCTCCAACAGTGGAGAGAGATTCTTGAACATCCCTGTGCTGACCTAGTCTAACACCTAATTGCATGTATGGCTGAAGAGCTAAGTGTGCCATTCCAATGGAAACAGGAAACAGTTTTTTTTTTCAGAGGTGCTTTTCATACATTTGAAGATTCCTGCCATGTCATAATGTAAAATAAATATTTGTCATRTCAATTGTCAATAATCAGCATAGTTGTAATAGTGAGCCTAAGGAGTCTTATTTTTTTAGATTCTCATGCTAAATCTCATTGTGGTAGTTGCATGTTTCTGTACTCCTTTGATCGCTAAGTATGACAGTTTCTCTCAGAAGTGGTGTCATTTTCTAACACAGAGCTGAGATTCAAGAGCAGAGACAGAAAATTAGATGTCAATCTACTGGAATAGTGGGTTAAGCCAATTATGGTGCTAACTTGTAGTAAGTATTAAAAAAAAAAAAAAAACCAAAAAACAAAAACACTAAATAGTCCATACCCTAACCAAAATGGAATGTAATTGATTTTGCCAATTATTATTGATTCGTATCAGTTCTTTTTTTCAGTACCTTGTAAGTTTCTCAAGACAGACCAAAGGATTTAATTTACATCAATTTTCTKTTTCAACATCAGAGGAAACTTTTATAAAACGTAGCAACTATTACTTTGCATTTAGTACATCATTAAGTATTGCAGCAGGAATGTATAATCCCTGAAGACTTGCCAGGAAAAAAGCCTACAGTGAAATGAAGCACAAGTGCAAAGAAATCCTATTTTTTTTAAAGCAATCATTATACTGCATGTTGGAAAATTCTGCCAAAACATTTTAGCACTTTTTTTCATTTTTCTGACATCTAAATACTTTCATAGCTTCTACATACGATAAGTGGGATGCCATTATGGAAACTGATTGACTTAGTAAATTATTCTTTTTCATACGTCTAACCCTACTAGCAAAGTTAGAAAAATTGAAATACAAGCTATAGAAATCTCTTGACAGGTGCAATGATTTAAACATACTGTATTTATTCTTTTGTAAATGATGAATTTTCAAATCTGGCATCTGTTTTTTAGCAGTGTGAAATAACTGTGACTTTTTTCCTTCATAATGTTTTGTGTTCTTTGAKGTAAAAAGTAAAAATCACAGTACTGCTTTTTTTGCTGGCATTTAGCAAATTGGCTAATGAAATGAGCAGCATTTTATCATACGTGGTACTGACCGTGGTAGCTGTAACCTCCATAGGCATTATATAGACCAGAATTTAAATTAAGGGGGGGTTTAACATTAACTGCACTCACTGCTACYGAGATAATTTTATTGTGATGTTAAATTCTTGTCTGAGCTTGTGTATGATGCGTTTATCTCTGTGCTTCTCTCGGGGCTGACAATTAGACGTGAAATTCTGTAGTCATAATGAAATGCAGAGCTATTTTATAATTGCCAAGGGTAAAATTAGCAAAGTCAATTATTTTCCCTTAGGCTTTTCCCTATAGATATTAAAAGGCTGMAAGGTAATTGCCTTAGGTAACACTTTGATTTTTAAATAACATTAAATATAGGAATTGTTGTTGTTAATTCGTAGTAATTTTCCTCTTCTTGCTGCTGTTGTAGAATATAACTGTAATGATGCTAACAAGAATCAAGGCTCAGGGTTTGTGATTTTGGGGTTTTCTTTTAAACTAGTGCTCATACCTCTCATAATTTTGCTAAAGTTATGMCRAWGAAGGTTTTGGGGTGRTGTTTTGGGTTTTATGGTTTTTGATCCCTGGAGTATAAGGAGTCTAGATTTCTTGAAATGTCAGTTAGGAAGCCTTCTGTAAGATAAACTCTGCTGCTGTGCTATCACAGAATCATCTCAAATTTTATTTTTGAATACATAACAATTCAAAAGAAAGTGAAATCATGATACATTAATTATGAATACAAAGTTGGTATCAGCTGAGGCTTAAAGTATTGACAGGCACATGCAAGTGTGTGCTACATTTTGGTAATTGTGGCAAAAGTTCTACATTTTTTTCAGTTAATAAAAACTGTTGAAAACAACACTAATTTCTTCAAAAACCTTTACAGTACAAAGTATTAGATTAGTCAGATCACAAGTATCTACAATTCTTTCATATATCCATGTTAACTTTTTGATCACCTTATATAAACTAATCTTTTGGATGGGGGCTCTGCTCGGCCTGCTGATTACAGTGATAGATTGTATTGTAGATTGTAAATTATATGGATGAAACCCTGCTTCAGAGCTGATTTTGTAGCAGATTGTTTATTACTAATCCATGGATTTTAGAACAGAATTGAGCTGAAAGATTAATTGGTTTGGGATTTTTTAGTAGTTGTTATATCAGCAGTGGAGTGGTGATACAAGGAATATATTTAACAAGGAATATATTTAACAAGGAAGGGCATGCTTGTGTTTGCTTCTTAACTAACAATGCAATAATGTGTGGTAATGTGCCGACTTATTGGATTGGGATGTATTTGTATGGCATGACAGGGTTATTTTGATAGGCTTTCCCATTCCAAGGTTGCAGTGCTCTGATGCTAGGGTTGTGTGAAGATATATGTAAGATATATGTAGAAGTCATTGTAAACATGTAGGTGTGGGAGTGATGGAAAAGTAAATTATGTTCACCTAACAAATTAGGGTACCTCCCAGCTATCTTGTGGGATATGTGACCATAAGCAGTTTTAACTAAATGTTCTAATAAATTATTAAGAAGTGTAAAATGATCTGTTTAATGGTTGGTTCTTTRTTGCTATCTGAAGACAATATATCTTTAACATTTGTTTTATCTTGCTATGCCTAGCCAAGGATGTGGGATGAAACTGCTAAAAGCAAATCTTTTGAATGGAAATCCTTCTTTGGTAGTAAAAAGTGTTTGCTTTGTCTTTAAGTTCTGCTTAAGKAACCTGCAATTCTTATAATGTTTTTAGGCTGGCATTTAGATGCAAACATAGCAAAAGTAACAAACATTAATGGGCATTTTTCGTCACCTGTCAGCTGGATGTGGGATACAGCATTCTACAACAAGTGATGTGTGGATACTGACCATGAAATTATCAATGTGCTTTTACAGTGTTTATAGCAGACAAGTTGGAAGGAATCTTCACAGCATTAAAGCTGGAGCTTCCTGGAGCATCTGAATCATCAGTTGTCTTATGAAACTATAGAAGGGGTGGTTGAAAGATGTAATTAAAACCAGTTTTGATGCTCTTACACTCTAAMGAAAGTGATGCATAGAACTTCAGAAGGCTGAAATGGTGCATTTTAGTGCAATGCCTTGAAAACAATAAAATAATCTGTAAATGCATTTCTTGCAACTCCATAAACTGATAAGAAGGCAACCATTTGTATTTAAAGAAAGAAAACCCACAAACCAGCCAAACCACCAAAACCCAACATGTACAAAACAAAAAATAAAACCCCCCAAAAGAAGAAGAGGTCTATCCCAAAACCTGAAGTACGTGTAATGGTTTACAGTGTTCTCTGTAATTCTTATTGAAATCTTAAGAGTTGACTCAATTTTCCCCACTATAATTCAGTGAGTTCTTGTTGAAATGATTAAACTCTTCATAGAAACACTTTAAAATATACAGRCTGAAAGCTTGGAATTTAATTTAAGGATCTTGTCTGTCAGTGCAGAGCTCTGCCAGAAGATCACATTGTAGATCACATTGTTTTATTAAGCATTATTTGTTTATAAACAGTAGCACAGATGTAGTACTTATATGGTRAATCCTTTTCCTTGTATTAAGTTTATGTATTCCTAATGGCATAAGTGTGTTGTTTATCAAATAAGCCTTGTATTTACATAAACWTCAATAAGTTACTCATTTAAGTCTTCCTATGTCTTCCTATTGCAACAGCCTGAAAGTTGTTTCAATAAGTACAATTTCTCTTGAACTTTGGTTTCTGCTCCTGTAGCATCGGTTGTGGTCCTATGGGGAAGGCTCAGTTTGGAACTTAAACAACTTGGTTCCTTGATATCCAGGGAAGGAGACAGAGAATATCCTCTTCTGAAATTACTCCAGTTGCTCTTTTGATGTAAATTGACATTTTTGAGAATTGACAAGTAAGTCAGTTAGAATCTACAGTTTTAATTTTTAAATGTCATTTAACAAAGGTGGTACTTGTATCAGACTTTCTCTTTCCCTGAATGTTGTCAAGAGAAGAACATAAACTTATTAAAAAAAAACCATTACAAATCTGCCAAAAAATACCCTTTGTTAATGGAAACTAAATGTTAATAGTTGCYAGTGTAAAGGCAACCATTAA